CACACACACACACACACTGACAAATAGAAGAAAAAAGACAGACAAAAATAGGCTGCTCATCTAGTTAGGGTCAGTGTTTTGACAATCTGTGCTACCAGAGCAGAGCTAGTGAATGAAATACCACCTTAAATAATGGTGTAAAAACAGGGCTAGTGAATGAAATACCACCTTAAATAATGGTGTAAAAACAGGGCTAGTGAATGAAATACCACCTTAAATAATGGTGTAAAAACAGGGCTAGTGAATGAAATACCACCTTAAATAATGGTGTCATAACAGGGCTAGTGAATGAAATACCACCTTAAATAATGGTGTAAAAACAGGGCTAGTGAATGAAATACCACCTTAAATAATGATGTAAAAACAGGGCTAGTGAATGAAATACCACCTTAAATAATGGTGTAATTACAGGGATGGTGAATGAAATACCACCTTAAATAATGGTGTAAAAACAGAGCTAATGAATGACATACCACCTTAAATAATGGTGTAAAAACAGGGCTAATGAATGAAATACCACCTTAAATAATAGTGTAAAAACAGGGCTAGTGACTGATATACCACCCTAATTATGATTGCTTCTGAAAATGTTCTGATGTTATTGAACACCGCTGTCCTGGAAATGAGCAACTTTGCATTTTCCATTGTTGTCAGAACATGATGTAAGAGCAGAATAGGGGAGCTTCTTTCAGAAATGGGGTTTATTTGTTTGCCTGATGTGTTTCCTGATGAATATGAGATGTGTCTGTTGTGTTAAAGACTGGCGGAATCGTCTGTGGACCTGAACCTGAAGCTGATGCGCTGGAGGCTGGTGCCGGCTCTGGATCTGGAGAAAGTGGTGTCTACGAGGTGTTTACTGCTGGGAGCCGGAACACTGGGCTGCAATGTGGCCAGAACACTGATGGTAGGAGCTGGTTACTGTGGATTTAACGTACAGACACACTGTATAGGGTTTCCCGTGCAATGTGTGCATCTGTAGTAATGCACCCTTTGCCAAGACTGATAACGGCAGCCAGAAGAGAGATTCATGTCAGAGTCCTGCACACATACACACTGCATTACACACACCTCACACCAGCAGACATTCGCTTACTGTAATTTGATGCAAAGAGGAGATAAACATAAATAAATATACATAGTTCAAAAAATGCAAATATTGAAAACTCCCAAGGATTTAAGATGCTGATGATCGTTATACGCTTCATACACATTGCAGATGATTTAATTTAATTTAATTTAATTTAATTTAATTTATTTTAGTTTAGTTTAATTTTATTTTTAATAAAATAAAAAAAAAATATTTCATTTAAAATATTTTTAAATATTAGCTTATTTAAAGTATTTAATTAATTTAATATATATATATATATATATATATATATATATATATATATATATATATATATATATATATATATATATATATATATATATA